TTTATTCTCATACTTGGAATAGGTTTGGAATGTAACATTTCTCGCATGTCATAATATTTTGTGATAACAATAAAAAATAATCTAATATCATGTTTTCCGTATAATACGGAGAGCAAAGTCTGATTATCACGCGTTATTTAACGGCACATGACCTAGTGTCAAGTTTTACGTGGTCACATATGCTTGTAGTACATCCCGAAATAGATTTAACCCCGAAATAGATCATACAATGATTATCCCCAAAATAGATCATGTAACGACGCATTATCAATCTTGATTGGTTGATTGTTGTATATATGCAACTTACCGATGATTTGCATGTTTCACGAACTTCTACGCTGATCTCTGATTCGCGGATTTCTCGAAATAAAACACATGACATCGCTCCCCTGAGGCTCGTCATAACGTGATGTGATTTGCACTCGCAATTCATTATAATCAAATACCCCTACAATTTTATCTTTTCGAATATTTCTAACACTAATAAATTCAGTGTTCGGATCATATATATGTTCATATTTATCGGTATTGAGAAGTTGTAAATATTGTTTTGGATTATCTGTGAATTTACCCATCGTTTTACGCTGATTATTACGACCCATCTTAACATATATACTTATCATTCTTCGATTCAAATTTAGGTCAACCATGTAATATTTTCTTCTCCGCCTGTTGATAATATCGATCTCTGGCTTGCTTCATAAATGATCCACCTGGTCGATAAAGCCATTTAATTACTGCATGCTGGATTATTTTAGCGGAATTAATTTGTCTTCTCCATAAACGATATGTTTGCTGGATAATTAATGACGCGCAATTTTTTTTATATAATGCTAGTTGAACTTTAAAATCCCTATATTTAGGGTCATTACCTATTTGCTTATGGCTGGTCAAATTATTTTTGATACGAAATACAAAATTTTCCCAGTAATCTCTACTATCTATTTCATATCCTGGTTTTAATAAACGTTTGCGTATGTATTTTGGTGGATAATATTTTG